TCTTGCCTTAAATGCTTTGCTCATTGTTCTAAAGGAAAACATGTCATAATCCAAAACGAATTTCAAAAAATTCAGAAAACAGAGGCTTTGGGGGGAAATGAGGGTGGACTCCCCACCATTTTCCCCCCTCCAGGCCTTCACATTCCTCAGAGGGAGGCAAGTGCACATTTCTGAGCCTAGTTCTCAGTTTTCCAATTGCGGCTTGCAGTCAGCCTCCATCAGACCCAAGCACTTTTTTTCTGGTTAAGACGTCACAACTCGACCTTGAAGGCTTAACTTGCATGAACTGAAATATTGGGTAAAAAGTATCCCTCTGCAGTTGCTTATTAGGCAAACCTCTGCTCCTGTCAGATAAAATATTACTAAAACATTTAAGCTATCTCTGAAGATAAAACCAAGGAGATTATTAATCACTGCAAATTAAATGGCTAGTAAGATCTGTGCTCACGACTTCTAGATGGAGAAACACGAGGGGCTTCGTTGTCAAATGAGAAGTGTAGCACGTTTTGTTCTTAATTGCACATAAATTACTGTGATTATTGTATTGCTGAGGAAAAATGCATTTATCCGCTAACACCTCGGAGGAAGAAATGTGAACAAAAGAATTTATGCATTACATCCAAGAATAACGATGAACAAATGAATTTATGCATGTCATATGATGTACTGCATTTAGAGTAATGGAAGAAAAATCAAAAGGCCTACTGTAAATCTTTAATCCTGAGAAAAATCAAAATAAACTATACACTTGCCAAGTTCTTAAAATATGATACTCTAGATTTTGAATGCAAATTTCTACACTTGTATGCACATCCATGCCTTCTGAGCATATGCAGCTACCTTATGAAGCTGAGTCAGGCCATTGGTCCATTTAGCCACTCCTGGCTGGCTATGGCTATGCCGAGTCTCAGCCAGAAGTTTTTTCCAGCCATCCTTCCCACTGGTGATGCTGGAAAATGAATCTGGGACCTTTCACACACATCTGCACTGGCATTTAGCTACAGCCTAGGGTGGCAGGTGGTGCTGTGGTCTAAACCACTGAGCCTCTTGGGCTCGCCGATCAGAAGGTCAGCGGTTTGAATTCCCGTGACAGGGTGAGCTCCCGTTGCTCTGTCTCAGTTCCTGCCAACCTAGCTGTTCAAAAGCATACCAGTGCATACTGTGACTGGACTTAACTGTCCAGGGGTCCTTTACCTTTACCTTTTACCTTAGGGTTGCCATATTTCAAGAGATAAAAATCCAGACACAAAAGCTGTTGAGCTTTTTGGCAGGGAAATCGCCCAAAAAGTTGTTGAGCTTTTTTGGGGGACGCTAGAAAGGGACACTAACTCCGCCGGGTGAATCTGGATATGTGACAACCCTACTATAGCCTAACTCCCAACAATCTAAGAAGGGAAACAAAATAAAAAAATTCCGTCCAGTAGCACCTTAGAGACCAACTAAGTTTGATATTGGTATAAGCTATCGTGTGCATGCACACTTCTTAAGGGGTTAACCCTGTAAAACAGCTGCTAACCAGAAACAGAATAACAGATATCTTTGTGTGGCAAGTGTCTATAAATAATATAAATAATAAATAAAAACACCATTATTATCTGTGTGTTCCATGATGCCACAATGAACAAACCAGTCAATGTCTATTTCTTCAAGTAATGCAATCTCCTCTTTGCTCCCTGCCTTCGTTTCACCTCTTTGCAGTCATATGCTGTAACCAAAAAGCACAACAACCTTTAGAGTATTTCTTCAGCTGACCCAGGATCATTGTAAGCCTTACAGAAAAAAGTTATACGGAGAACAGAAGACACCTGCGGCTCTCAAACAAAGGCATATGGAAGTCAAAGACTGCAGCGCCTGAGCAGAACACAAAGATTTGCCACCTCGAATTATCTCCGTGTTCGCATATGGGATGCAGGAGAGAACAAGGCTCCAAGAGCGTCAAGAACAAGCCTCAGCGAGAGATTCTGAGTATGAAATGGCAAACGCCACAACAGTAAATTCGGATTTGAAGGAAACACCCAGCAGCTCAGTTGCCATCAGTCAGCAGTGCGGGCATTGGAACTTGTAATAAACACACACACACACACACACACACACACACACACTAAAGCAAGAATAGCAAAGGGGGAAGTCAGGCTACCTACATTTATGGATATTGAATATACTGAACTGATAGCAATCTCAGAAATTGCTTTTTTTTCAACGGATTTCATAAATAGATGGGGGTGTATGAGTAGCCACAGCTACTAGCCAGATGCAAAGCCTCCATTTTCAGATATATGTCATGGACTGGTTGGATAATAATAATAATAATAATAATAATAATAATAATAATAATAATAATAATAATAATAATTTATTTATTTATACCCCGCCCATCTGGCTGGGCTTCCCCAGCCACTCTGGGCGGCTTCCAACAAAATATTAAAATACAGCAATGAATCAAACATTAAAAGCTTCCCTGAACAGGGCTGCCTTCAGATGTCTTCTAAAAGTCTGGTAGTTGACATCTGGCGGGAGGGCGTACCACAGGGCGGGGCCACTACCGAGAAGGCCCTCTGCCTGGTTCCCTGTAAGCTCACTTCTCGCAGCAAGGGAACTGCCAGAAGGCCCTCAGTGCTAGACCTCAGTGTCGAGGTAGACCAATGGAGGTGGAGACGCTCCTGCAGATATACTGAACCGAGGCTGTTTAGGGCTTTAAAGGTCAGCACCAACACTTTGAATTGAGCTCGGAAACGTACTGCAGAGGAATGGTGGAAGGAACCAGTTGGGGAACCCCCAAGGGAAGAAGGCTCAAAGCCAGGGAGTGGTGGTTGGACGACGACGAGGGGTCAGAGAGAGAAGACTGAGAAGAGGAGGTGTCAGAAGCTGGAGGGGTAACAGGGCTTAGTGAGTGGGGGGAGTCTGTGGCAGAGAGACATCCAGAATCAGAGGCAGCAGCTGAAGCAGGAGAGTTGGAGGAGGGAAGCCCAGTATACCTGAAGGAGCGTCTCCACCCCCATCGTCTGGCCCGGACACCGAGGTCCAGCTCTGAGGGCCTTCTGGCGGTTCCCTCACTGCAAAAAGTGAAGCTACAGGGAACCAGGCAGAGGGCCTTCTCGGAAGTGGCGCTCACCCTGTGGAAAGCCCCCCCATTAAATATAAAGGAGATGAGTAATTATATATCATTTAGGAAACATCGGAAGGCAGTCCTGTTTAGGGAAGTTTTTAACGTTTGATGTTGTTGCTTTTTTATCACTGTTATTGGTGTTCTGTTAGGAGCCGCCCAGAGTGGCTGGGGAAACCCAGCCAGATGGGTGGGGTATAAATAATAAATTCCTGTTGTTGTTATTATTATTATCATAAGCCAAGAGGCAGAGATGAGTCCGGCTGGGGAAGAGTCATGGGTGTCTCCCCCTCCTGCTGCAATAAGCTCCCCTCCACCCTTGTCTCTTAGAACTGAGCTGAAACTGGCGGAGCAGTGGCAGGCTGCACACAGGCGCAGTTTCCAATTGCTGGGGGACAGCCCTGGAGAGGAGGGGACATAGACGGCTGTGAAGAGGAGGGGACTTTCAGCCTTGGCAACTAATTCATGGGGCCAGACCAACCAAAGATGAGTTGCTGTGCTCATCAGGCTAAGTCTCTGGGTATCGTGTTTTAGCTAATAAAGAGTTAACTCCAACTTTGAACGGTGTGATTTACTTCCAGCGGGCTCTTTGACAACCTAGCCTCCGACTATCAGATGTGGGTGTTTAATTAGATAATCATTATCTTGATGTCTGCACAACTATGTGAAATGCCTCTTGGTAGTCGGAATACTGAGCTGGCAGAGCCATTGGGCTGGCCCAGTACAGCCATTCTTATTGAAAACTCAAACTAGATTTGAGCCTCCCAGCTAGCGTGGCAGTCGCCACTGGTGGTGCTAAATTACATCTGCCCCGTTCTCATGTGCAGCGCAGCTGTGTGGGGCATGGGGTTTATTTCGAGCTGCTGACAGCTCATTACGCAGGAGTTGGAAGGTGTCAGAGCAGCCCTGGAAGCCCAGTGCCGGTGCAAATCCCGCGCCAGCAGTATCCTCTGTTCCCCTGCAGCTATAGCTGTCACTTTGCATCACGCTGCCCATTTGCATCCATTTACGAAATAGCCCTGCCCAAAGAGGAAGGCACTCATAGCTGAGCTTTAATGAGGATGGGAAACAGGCAGATGGGAAGACATCAGCCTCAGGGAAAGCATGTCTTGCAACAGATTCCTTACCAGGGGTAATAAGTTCTTCTGGGAGATCACCTGGCATCATCTAGATGCTCCAAGGTAAGCTGCAGGGCCAAATAACTTGGCCTCTTTAAAGCATAAGCTGGCCAGGAAGAAATAGCTATAAACAAAATCATCTCAAAACTCCAACATTCATTTTATAGACAGCAGAGACCCGAGGAGGAGTTAAGACAGCTGAATAGGCACATATATTTTAAATGCAGAAGATGCATCCAAATTTGAATATTGTGCCCACTTCCACAATAGACCTCCCCCTAATATTTTATGCAACCTACAGATATATATATGTTTTCTAGGAAGCTTTGTATCCGAGGCAGTAATCAGCCACCAAATTTTGGAATAAAATTCAAACAAAGAACTAAATCACGCTACTGCAAACTGTCACAGCAAGACAAGAACCATTTTTTTTTTAATCAACATGAAAACATGGGGTGGGGAAGGCTTCAGCAAGCTTTTCACGTCAGCTAACACAAAATCTGATCTTTCGGGGGGCGGGGGGAGAACAGAAAAGAATAAGAGAATTCTAAGAAGCAAAGTTTGTTACTGAGGGCTGACTGGTGCCTTCACGTAATGGTGATTAAGCCACAATGGAGCTGCCAGCCAACATGTGGCCTGTGGAGGATGATTCATCCTGGCCCCACACGCTGAACTAAAAGTGAAAGCCCCAACATTACCTGAGTGTCAGAGAACTGTTAACAATCTATAGATACACCGTTCACTGAAGAGAGAAGGATTTAAATGAAGAATTGTGCTACCTTTTCCCCACACTGTTTACGGAGTTGGCCACATTCCGAGCCGCCAGAGATTTTCTTCTTGACAGTTTCTTGGTGCTGCTGCTGTCATCAGTGCTGTCATCGTCTTTCTTTGGTGAGCTACCTCCTTTGCTGTTGAGGTCCCTTAACACGTTATAATTAATTTTACTTGAAATCTTCTTCTGTTCCAACATCTTTTCAATTGCCTCTCCCGCTGTGCTGGCCTGGATCAGCTCCCGCTTCTTTGCAGACTTCTTGGGCTTAATTAAAACATAAACAGCAATTTTAGGGGGCAATCGGAATAATTTTACAGAGGCGGAAGAATGGGCTGCAGTTTAATCATCACTGCTCAGGTGGCAGCTGGCTGAGAGAGGAACTGATAGGTGGCACAGTTGCATCGGCACACTGCAAAGAATCCAAATCCTGAATAATGGAGCTCATTGAAGATCCTCTATTATTTTTGGCCCCTTAAGGACGCTGGGTTGCAATGCTTGTTTGAATAACTATCAAAATGCCCACCACGTATGGGAACTAGCAAATATTTCTAAAAGAATGTACTTTCTCCACCATGTGAAGCCATGAATGCCAGGTGAAGCCAGAAAATTGAATGATCCTTTAGGTGAATTAAAGCTACATCAGTCCTGCTGATGGATAGCCACCTCTGTTTTGAGGTCCAGATTATTTTTTCCTGCCTTTTGACCACAATTAAGCAAATGGGTGAGAGTTCCAATAGTTGGGCCGAGACCAGAACCAGCTATGATGGCAATTACAGGATTGCCACCCTGCAGTTAAGACTATAAGCTCCTTGAGGTAGGGACTTGTTCTCTTTCACTCTGTAAAACATTGCACACATCATCTCCAACACAGTAATTTTAAAATGTCAGCTCTCCCTCCTCTTTCTGCAATGTGTAGCAAAAGAAGCACACGCCACCACATCACTAGGTTCCCTCTGCTAACTCATGATAACCATTGGTGGTACAGGGAAGCACAATATGCCATAACTACACATTATGGAAAGAGGAGGGGATTCAATACAGAATCACCACTGTTGGGGAAAACCTGTGTGGCTACTGTGACATTTATTTCTGGCCACCGATTGTGGCTGAATGCACTAAGTGCAGGGTCAAATGGAGTCACAACATGAAGTCAACCCCCCACATAGGGCTGGTCTGCACTTTCTATTTTATTTTATTTTATTATTTATGGAATTTGTATACCACCCTATATTCGCAGGTCTCAGGTCGGTTCACAGAATAAAATCAAAATATAAAACCACAAAACACATTATCAAAATAAAAACAACAAATGCAGGAGCATTATAGGAAGTTTTCTCAGCCACCATACACTGAAAGTAATAAATGAACCAGCTTCACACGTGATATCCTGAATTTCCCCAGTCCTTTCAAATATATGCATACAAGGAATGCATACTGGAAGCAACATGCCTGCAGAACTGCATGGGTATGCCCAAAACTTCCAGTATTCCTCTGCTTAGTAGTCTGTATACTGAGCCATATCCAATCACAAAGGGAGGGTTTCCCATGTTTATAATGCATGGGAACCTGTTGAAGTGAGCTACGAAAGTTTTAACTGGTTGTGTGAATTGGCCCCTCATGCGTTCAGCTGTAATGTCTTTCTTGTCTCAAAAGCAATTTCATTTATTTTCCCAGGGGCATACTTTGTACAGCATTGGGTTTGTAGTAACGAGCGAGCATCTATAGCCCACCTGTGGTTTCCACGGAAGCAACTCATCAAAGCAGAACATGTGAGGGAAGGGAAAGGGCACGAGTGCAGTGCTTGCTCATTACATGGAAACTGGCCCACCCAAAAACAACAGGAACAACAACCTGCTATCAATTGCCATTCATATGAATCCTATCTGGTCCTTTTTGAACTGCATTAGCGGCATCTGATAGAACAACATTTAACAGGTCAAATGCACACAGCGTGTGAAAGCGGCGATATTAAATGCTCCTGCCTGTTGAATTTGTTGGGTGACTTCCTGGCATTACATACAAAGGAAAACAATGGTTGCAATCCTGTACCTGATTTACCTGGGAATAACTCCCATTCAACTGAAAATGTTTTTTCTAAATCATTTCATTGCTATCCAATAAAGACATGTCTGCTACCTATAGCACCTTCTAGAATCGCAGAATCGCAGCATTGAAAGAGACCCCCATGGGTCATTTAGTCCAACCCCCTGCAATGCAGGAATCTCAGCTAAAGCATCCATGACAGATGGCCACCCAACCTCTGCTTAAAAGCCTCCAAGGAAGGAGAGTCCACAACCTTCCAAGGGAGACTCTTCCACTGCTGAACAGCTCTTACTGTCAGAAAGGTCTTTCTGATGTTTAGTCGGAATCTCCTTTCTTGCAACTTGAAGCCATGGGTTCGAGTCTCACCCTCCAGAGCAAGAGAAAACAGCTTGTTTCCTCTTCCATGTGGCAGCCCTTGCGATATTTGTAAATGGCTATTATATCTCCTCTCAGCCTCCTCTTTTCCGGGCTATACACACCCAGCTCCTTCAAGCGCTCCTCGTAAGGCTTGGTTTCCTTGAAAACGCTGAACGCCAAATAGATTTTTTAAAAATTTAAACAATTTGGATAACTTTATGGTTTTAACTTTTGTCAACTGGCATTTCTGAAAACGTTATCTATTTAGCTTACTCTTGAATTGCCTTCTTGTAATGGCCATTGGCTATGAACAATCAAAATGTAACTGACTGATTGACTGACAACATGACTTTGGAGACATGCATAGATGGGATCGTGCTGTGAGTTGCTCTTTCCAACCTGCTTGCATTTCCCTTCAGTCATATTCCATTTTATCAGCCTCTTTCCTATGCTAAAGGCTGATAATATTTTTAGCTTGCAGCTCCTGGTTTCCACACGGGGAATATCACACATTCCTCCCCCAGGCTTTCCTTGCTGAAAGTTCCCTACAATACATAAGTCCTTTATTGCTGAAGTCTAGATTTTTCCCCCCAGTCGCAGAGGATGGCTTTTGTTTTGTTTTGTTTTAGTAAAAATAAAATATTAAGGAAGCATATTCTCACTAAAACTGCCCCGCCACCAGCAAAAGCAGGTACAAAGACTGAGTGCAAACCAGAATGGAACATAAATACCAAGTAGCATTACAACAAAAAGCTCAAGGGATACAGCAGCAGTTTAAGTAAAAGTAGAGAGCTGTGTTCGAGAGTTCCCACAGGACTGCCACTCCACAGATCAGTGAAGGCAGCCAAGTGGAATACATGGAGTTGGAAACCTGCCTGTTAATGGGGTTGGGTTAATGCAAGCCTCTGAGAAATGGCGTGTGCTAGTCAAAGCAACAAGGACAGCTAGACGCATACTGCATTAAACCCAAAAGCTGCTCAGTCATGGGGGAATTAAGGACGATTTAAATGCAGCAATAGAAGCATAGGAAGCAGACTTGTTCCGAGTCAGACAACTGGATCGCAGCTCTCAGGGTTTTAGAAAGGAGTATCTTCCATCCCTGCTAGGCAGTGCCAGGAAGTGAAGCTGGGATGCAAAGCCCAAGTTCTATTGAATAAGGAACCTCCCCCTTTCCTCTATATCAGGCTTCCTCAACCTCAGCCCTCCAGATGTTTTGAGACTACAGTTCCCACCATCCCTGACCACTGGTCCTGCTAGCTAGGGATCATGGGAGTTGTAGGCCAAAAACATCTGGAGGGCCAAGGTTGAGGAAGCCTGGTCTATATGCAAAACCACAAATGTGTAAAGCAGATAGGGGAATGAGATACACGATTTCTTACCCGCAAAAGCCCTATGCAAGGGTCCATCAGCATGCCCGCTAAGAAAGGACTCAGTAAATTTTCCCCCAAACATCCACAATATACAAAAGACGGCTTGCACTGTTCCTGCTCTGTTCCTATTTGCACTGTCTCAGCCTCTCCTCTTGAATGGACGCTCACCCTTCCATTCATTCTAAAGAGAGGAGTGCTGGCTGGTGTGGGTGCCTTTGCCTCAAAATGTGGAATGTTACTATTATGGAATGTGGAATTTGTGTTTTTATATATTCTACTGCACATCAGCATTTGTTGGGATGTCAACTGCTTTGAGATTTCTTGAACTATAAAGCAGTAAAACTTCAATCAATTAATTAGAAGAGGGCTTTTCTGGGTCTCAGATGTTTCCCCAAAGCTTGCCTATCTAATGTCAGTTCACCGGCAACTGCTTGGGCAACATTTCTTTTGCTTCAAAAATAGCCCTCTTGCCTAGTAACCGAGACATGTGTTATATGTAGTCCATCAGGTTTTGACCACGTTATGTTGTCACTGCTACTGCCAAGGTAAGAACTGTTTTGATGGCAGCAACAAGAAGAACAACAACAACCCCTGAAGCTTCAGCAAATCCAGGATATGAAGAGGTTCACAATGGAGCACTTCCACCTGATGCCAGGCACAGGAAGTAAGGCAACACAAATATTTAGTGTGGTGGATGCATTCTCTCTGCACAGACATAATCCCTGAAAAGCCCTCCCAAAGATTTCCCTTTATACAAAACTCCACAATGAAAACATGTTACAGTATTCAGGTAAAACAAAACAAAAAATTTGGAGAAAATAGTGCTTGGATTACTTTCTTTCTTTCTTTTTAATGATCAGGAAGGTTTGAGTAAAAGATGATTAAAAAATATTTACTCCTACAAGGTATGAGAAGAAAAAAATCAACTGTATGAATTTGAACTAAACAGAGTTTATATAAGCTTTTATATCACATCTCAGGGTTGTTTTTTCCAAGTCACGTAAGGAAGATTTTTCCTTTTCACCTATTGCAAAGCAGGGTTAGATTGACTAAAGAAGAACGCTCTTCTGGCAGTAAGAGGAGATATGATAGCCATTTACAAAGATCTCAAGGGCTGTCACGTGGAAGAGGAAACAAGCTGTTTTCTCCTGCTCTGGAGGCTAGGGCTCAAAGCAGTGGCTTCAAGTTACAAGAAAGGAGATTCCGACTGAACATCAGGAAGAACTTTCTGACAGTAAGAGCTTGGGAGGTTGTGGACTTTCCTTCCTTGGAGGCTTTTAAGCAGAGGCTGGATGGCCATCTGTCATGGATGCTTTAGCTGAGATTCCTGCACTGCAGGGGTTAGACTAGATGACTCTTGGGGTCTCTTCCAAATCTACAATTCTCTGATTCTCTGAGTTAATCTTTGGGTTGCCCCTGTGCTTTCTAAATCAGCCTGGTCCAAAAGCATGGTGAATCTGAACTAAAATTGTCCATCCATGTACATTTTCAGTGTGCTTATTCAAAAGAGTTTATTTACCTTATGTTCTTTATAAATCCCAAGCTCCTTCTCTTTCGCTATCCTTGCTTCTTTTTCTGGAAGAGGACACAAAAAAGTAGTATGAAAGCACAAGTATGGCTAGTATTATAGAAGACTATGAGTAGTTTTAATGACAACTTAACTAAGCGAACCCCATGTATGTCATTCTGACTTTAGGGAAGCTTTTAATGTTTAATAGACTATTGCATTTTAATATTCTGTTGGAAGCCGTCCAGAGTGGCTGGGGAAACCCCGTCAGATGGGCGGGGTATAAAAATATATTATTATTATTATTATTATTATTATTATTATTATTATTACTACTACTACTACTACTACTATTATCATGGAATAAAATAATTTTATATGTGCACACAGAATTTCACAGTACTTTGCACAGTTGAAATTTTGAAGTACACACAGAAAGCTCTGCTTTAGAGCAGGGAAAGACTGGCTTCATGTTCCATTATCTACTTATAAAAAGAGTAACCCCAAATCCAAGTGACCCACTGGTATATGCTAAGCTGGTGAAGCAGGTGTGCATGTTTGGGATTTATTTAAAGTTAAGGCAGCCTCTCCTAACGTGACTACAACTCCCATCAGCCCCAGCCAGCACAAAGCATCCGGAGAGCAACAGGCTGGCGAAGAATGAGTTAAGGCATTGGTTATCATGATACTGCACTCTTTCTAATGCATATAAGAGGTGTTTATTGGATCAGATTAAGGCCTAGTTCAGCACCAAGAAAATACTAAGTGGTCTACTGGAGAAATGTGACTGGTAAACCATAGTCTATTGCCTGTCCACCCCTGGCCTTTAAGTTAGAAAAGGGGGAAATTGATTTGAAAACCAGTTGTCTCATAAATCCCCCTACCAAACTGTCAAGCTCTGCACGGAATTCCTTTCAAGGAGGCAAACCTCATGTAATGGCTACAGCATTTGGGAGGGGATGGTAAACCAAAGTTCAAATCCCTAAGAAGTTATGAAACTCCTTGAGATGTATTGAGAAAGACAATTTTCTACCAGCCTAACTTGGGCCGGGGTCGTTGTGAGGCTAAAACACTACTCAAAGCTCTTTGGAGGAATGATGGAATACACATGTAGCAAATGATCAAGTGCAATTTATATTTATATGACTTGAAGCCTTTTTGCATACATTGGCCCGGTTCAGATGCAATGCCAAACTATGTTTTAGTACAATATTCATGTGCCTTAAGCTTGCATGAATCCACCCCTCCTCTGGAGCAGCCATGAAAGAAGATCAGAAGTTTTCGCTTCTGTTTCTAAACTAAACACAGTTCCTCATTACATCCAAACTTCGGGAACTCTAGCTAGTTTAAACTATGTTTTGAAAATAACCCATGATCTTAAGTCTCAATTTGATCCTGGCTTGTTTCCCCCCACCCTTCCCATCCCCACTTACCCCAGTTTTTTTTAGTGTCCACCAATCCTGACTCATCTGAACAAAATAGAGCTTAAGCTAACTATAGTCCATTGAGTTTGGATGGAACAAGGAACTGTGGTTTTAGACGATGGATGCTTAGAACAGCTTTCCCTTAGCTGTGCCAGAGGAGCAGACAGGAGGGGGAGCTTCAAGTGCACTTCTGCTCATGCATGCAAGCAAAACCAAGAGTTCAGCACAGCATCTGGACTGAACTATTATCTCAGAAACCCTATCATCAAGGATGTAAAGCACGGCACTATGATTATATTACAAACAACTGGTTGGTTTTGCTGCAATAGCCTAACATAGCTACCCCTCCGGAAATAAGTTTATCTGAAATCATCTTGCTTGCTTGCAGCTCGCTCTTCACAATATGCCACAACCAGCGTTGGTTTCATTTTCATCCTGCCCTTCATCCTGAGAGCTTAGGGTACAGGGTGCACCCCCATATATTTATCCTCCCTTATGGGGTAGGCTAGACAATGAGAGAGTAGCAACCTCCCAAGATCAGCTTTGTAGCTGCATTGGGATTCTCCCCCTCCCCAGTCCTAACTGGATCCCCGATCGACGACACCAACCTTCCCCTAGCTGGTGTTCTCCAGATGTTTTAGACTGGCTAGACCAGATGGGAGATGTCGTCCAAAACATCTGGAGGGCATCAGGTTGGGGAAGGCTGCACTATACCACGCTGGTTGCTAAGGCACTGTTAGAAACCCTGTTGAAAGGCAACAGAATTAGGTCTACAATGAAGTGATTAATCACAGTTGAATGTTTTCAGCCTCAAGACTTCACTACATGACTCACCCGAAAGAGACTTCCATTCATTTGGCTTACCCTTTTGTTCCTTCAGATAATCTGCATTCTCCCTCATCCAGAGTTCTGCTTTTATTTTGGCTTCGGAATCATTAAGTATATACTAGGGACCAAAAGGAAAAAAGTTAAGTGTTTTGTTTTTCGTGTTCTTCAGCAGCAGACATAGGAACTCTGCCCATCAGCTGCTGCCCACTCCATCACCTCCTCGCTTCTACCTCTCCTCCGTTGACCTGGCTGGGGCTTCCGCGTGATGGAGAGGAGAGAAAGAGGCATCGGTGTGGCAAAGAGCAGAAGGGGAAGCAAGGCAGCAGAGAGGCAGGTTATAGAATGAGATAGGTAAAGGAGGATTGGGGGTGTGGAGAAAGAAGAAGCTACCAAAGGAGATCCAGTTGGTAGACAATCTTGAAAAGAGGACCATGGGAGGGAAGGGAGGAGACAACACTCATCAGAGCTCCTCAGGACTCCCCGATACCAGCACTGTAGTCACTACAAAGTGGACTTTCATTAAATGAACTATTTACAGTTGCATGTATGGAGGAGATACTCTTGCGGGTACCACAGAGCCGTCTAAATCCACCCCTCCTCCTTCCACAACACATATTTAAAGCGCAACACTCTACCAACAAGGAAGTACCTCGTCCCTGAGCACCTAGAAGCATTTCTCGAACTTGGGTCCTCAGCTGTTGTTGGACTACAACTCCCATCACTCTTGACCACTGGTCTGGCTAGCTAGGGATGATGGGAGTTGTAGTCCAACAACAGCTGGGGACCCAAGTCTGAGCAACACTGACCCTACAGCCAACCATAGCATGCCTTAAAAAGAAAAAAAAGTTACAGCGTTTGCCTCTCTTGAGATCATTTTGATAACACACTACAAGCATTGTGATTTTGTAAAAATCTGGTCATTCTTGCAGACAACCACTAAATGTTATGCCAGTGCTCCGTATCTGTAATCTACACCTGACATTGTGTGGGTTTCTCATCACTGTTGCTCTAATGTCTTGCTATTGGTGCTGGTACCACCAATTAAAATTAAAATAATAATCTAAGCGATTATGGCATGCATCGTCAGCAGAATAAAGCAGATATTTTTGATTCCCGGTAAAACAAAATGCATACTGCATGCAGAGACAATTTTATTGGTGGCGGGGACAGAGTAAGAAAGAGGAAGCATTCTTACCATATCTATTTCACTGTCGTCAATTCCACTTAGATCTAATTCACCATCTCCAGTATTTTCATCTAAATAGAAGCAACAGAAATTTTAATTAGGGTGTGCATTCATTCCAAATCAACTCCGATTCAAACCCTGGCTTTAATCATCTCGGAAGTGCGGTCTTTCTGATAACTGGTTTGCTAACAAAGCAATCTTTCACAAGATGGGGCCCGTCCAAATTAAAAAGGGGGAGAAATGAGGTTTTCCTAACGACACTCTCCTATTGTTGCTGTTTCTTGTGTGAACACAATTTGTCACTGAAGTTAATTAGAGAGGAGAAGACACCAAAAGGGCTTGGCCCCCGCCCCCACCTTGGCTCCTTGCAAATCACCGCTAATATGATTCAATGGCAAACACTCAATTAAATACAAAATGATGGAATCAGAGGTTAGGAACTTTAAAAATTCCTCCAAGTCAAGGACATGCAACATTGGAACAGCTGCTGCCCTGCCCCATGTGACTGGCAAATACTAGCGCAAATGCAGCCCAATCACAACATCTGCTTTGTGTCTTGCTGAACATACATATGTGTGTGACACAGTTGTAAGATACCTAGGTAGGAGGCCAGCACTTGACTGAGGCCCCATCTGCGCTATAATTTAAAGCACTCTCATCCCACATTAAACAGTCGTGGCTTCCCACAAAGCATCCTGGGAACTGTAGTTTGTCGAGGGTGTTGAGAGGTGTTAGGAGACCCCTATTCCCCTTACAGACCTACAGCTACAGGGGGGAAACACAGACCCACAACACTCAATCCTTGGAAGTGAAGAAAGCATAATAAGCTCTGGTCAACACTGCCAATTCTCAGAAGCATTGAACTACCTGCCCGCAGACTGTATTGCCGGAGTGGTGCATGTTCTAGTTATATCTCGCTTGGACTACTGCAATGTGCTCTATGTGGGGCTACCTTTGAAGGTGACCTGGAAACTACAACTAATCCAGAATGCGGCAGCTGGACTGGTGACTGGGAGTGGCCGCCGAGACCATATAACACCATATAACCCAGAAGGCAGAGCTAGTTCCATAGATTTATTTCTGTTTAGCAACTTTGAGTGAGCTCAGATATCCACTTACCAAGTGCTAGCTTTCTGCAATGTGCACGCAACAGCTTGGTGAATTGTTCACCCAAAATATCCTGCTAAGGAGCAGGAATTCCTCTGCCCAATGCTTTTTCGGTAGTTGATTGGAAATGCAGGGAAGCGAAGGAGTGGGACAATTCCCCTGACTAGTTTGAAGATTAAGACAGACAACCTGCCCAATGAATAGCAACATCCCATCATTTGTTTATTGCATTTGTATCCCACACTTCCTCCAAATTGTTCAGAGAAATAGAGGATGCTGCCTTATACCGCGTTAGATTGCCCATCTTAGTCAGTCCTTTCTATTCTGACCGGCAGTGGCTGCAGGGTCTCAGGCAGAGGGTACACTAAGAGATTCCAGGGACTGAGCCTGGGACATCCTGCAAACAAAGCACATGCTCTTACCATTGAGCTATGGCTCCTTCCCAGCTATGGTACCTCCACAGACGTACACAGTTCTCTCTTAATTGCATTTCAGCTTCACAATGCCCCTGAGAGCTAGGCTGGGCTAAGAGAGGGTGACTGGTCCAATGTCACTCAGTTTGGAAAGTGGTGATATAAACCCCCATCTTAGCCAAGCGTTCTACACACTCTTGTCTTTGAAGCACCGAAGTGACCTCCCCGGGGTGCAAGACTGGGCAGCGTGTATGGAGGGCCTGGGCTGCCCAAATCTCCCCTCCCCCTTGGATTCACTGATGTGGTCCAAAGGAAAGCAGAGCAATACGTTTGGCAGCAGCTTGGCTGCAGGAGTTGCCGGAGGGAGGTGTACAAGGTGCCATTCAACCGCCTTAGGGACTGTACTCTGGATTTGTGTAGGGTTTACTCCTTAGCTTTTTATTCTCCTGAAAATGTTCTGCATGACAGCAGGTAGGGATTGCTCCTGGGGATTTAGTCCCAAAGCCTTTCTCATGAATGACTATAGCCGCAAGGCAGCGGAGGTTTAGGATCAGAGTTTTCACCAATCAGTAGCTACCCGAGTCTTCTTCTTTCCCCCACTTTTTGAAGATGGGGACAAAAATTGCCTCCTTGCAGTCCACTTTTTCTCCAAGAATTCTCAAAGGTTACAAGAGTTACCTAAGTATAAATTCTCGCTTAAGGACAAAAGAAGTGCTTTATTGAACCAGTTCAAGGTCCCCCTAATCTGACATGCTATGCAAGAATCTCAGCAACCAGCAGGCAGAAGAGGGTGGCCTACCAGTGGGGCCACTAGCAACCTTCTGCCTACTCTTGTTTAAAGTCATTATTCAAAAATTAATAGGCAAACCATATGCTGATTAGGGAATGCTTTCTGCAGCACTGAATTCAGTTTTTTGGGTCATTTACATTTCTTCATCCCCGCTCCCCACACACAAAAAAAGTTAATTTAACCGGTTTGAGCTTTGGGGTATATTTTCCTACTCTAATCCTCCCAAATTTATTCTTAGCGTTTTGTAGAACAGAAAAGGGGAAAGTGCCTGAAATGCACACAAATCCTTAATATGCCAGTTTGAAAATTAGGCCATTTCCATGCGCTGTGGAACAGTTTTTATGTCAACACTTTAATTTTAAACTAATTTTGGAATTTGGTGCCAGTTGTTTCCTCCATCAGTGGCAGGCAGAGAGAAGTCATTTGCCAACTGCCAAATTGCAGGAAAAGGATCTAAGAGGAAGTGATCCGAAATAAGCATGACTTATATCGGAGAGAAGATGTATAGGGAGTAATTGATGGCTCCTGGTCCTGCTTGCAAATAGCCACTCTTCAGACTGTCTGACAGGCATTCATTACGTGCAAAGATTTGCTGAGAACACGCGGGGCACCCAAGCTCCCAGGTTTTATGTCCCCTCTAAACAAAACTGTTTTGTTATAAAATAAACATCCACTGTAATGCTCAAATTTGAGAAAGGAAAAACAGCTGTTCCGATGTACCACAGCAAACTCCGCTGCAATCATTGCCGAAACCAGCTGAACTGCCCTAACTGCTGAGCATGACCATCTGTTGTCCATTAAACAGCTTGCTCCAGAGGCAGAGAGAGAGAAAAAGGAGCTCCTGACTCTTGGCTCTTTGTCAGCCGGGGGGGGGGGGGAGGCACCCCCTTTCGGCTCAACTTTTCCAAAGAGTTTCTGAACAATATTCTCATATTTAATAAAAATGTCTGAAACGCCGTATTCCATAAACACAGATGTGACCACCCTTTGGCCCACGATCTTAAAACAGCAGGTCTGAATGGTTTTGATGTGGTTCCTTGCAAGTTTCGACTTTCTTCTTCTTCTTCTTTTCCTTCCAGAGGAAGTCAAAGCCTGCAGGGTACAGGTAAAAAACAGGCTTCTGGATTTTTAAAGGAGGTAATGCTTTAGGCTATTAATTCTGTAAGCAGATCAGAGAGCGCCTTTATGGTTAAACAAGGGCAAGGAGCAACAAGCGCACCCACCACCACCTTCCCTGCCCATTCTAATCTCTCCAGCGTAACTAGCACCTTCTGCGGCTTTCGACCAAGTCTCCAAGTCAATTACAGTCCTGAAACTTAAAAGCGCCTGTCATGCCCTTTGCAGCCGCCACCTCCCCCTGCCCCAGGCCTTCTGAAGATAAGCACAAGGGTTGCAAAAGAAGGGGAGGGGGTGCTCAGCGCAGGAGCATATGCTTTGCTTATAAAAAGTGCTAGGTTCAATCCTTCGTATCTGTGGTCAGAATTTCAGACAGGAGGAGGGCAAGGAAAGACCTCCACCAAAGACCTTCGAGAGCTAGTAACAGTCAGGGATCAATAACCTTGCCTTAGATTGATCAGTTGTGTAGTTCACTGCAAGGGCAGTTTCACATACCTGTTGCTTTTGGATTGGGCTTTGTAAAACTATGTTTGGAACAACTACATTTCTACCTGTCTGTTGACCATTCAGATCTTCATCTAAAGCTCTGCTCAGAAGCCCTCCTTCTAGAGAAATTAGAAAACTAATAGGAAAAAGCAAGGGTTTCTAAGGAGCAGCACCAAAGCTCTGGAATGACCTCTGGGAGGGAGTACACCCTGAAAACCTGTTTTCTCTGGGAATTAGTTCTCTGGCTTTTTATCACCAGACTAGGACTTGATAACACTATTGATTCTGTGGTTTTATATTGTCTGCCCTTTAAAAAATGGATTTCTAGCAGTTTTACAGCTCTTAATCATATGCGGCATGGCTGGGCACCTGCCAAAGTTTTCCTTTCTGCAGAAGGCACATTGACACCGTAGGAAGATGCGGAGACACATCTAATTTCCCAACAGGAGAACTGCTTGCCATACACCAGTCCTATAGGAAGCTACACTGGGAATGCCAGCTTGCATTGAAGGTGTGGGGTACAAGACCATTCCAGAGGCCCTTGTGATGAGTCTCTAGGGCAATCATTCATTGCCCTGTAGGAACGTTGTCTGACCGCACACAAGAATGGCATCCTCCATAGCTAACCTTTCCTACTGTGAAATGGAAAATTGTCCCAGAGGCCTGTGCAGTAAGTATCACAGTGGCCTCTAATGCGATCTCCCATTTTCTGATGGAAACGGCAGCAGAAGATGACCCTCTCTCACTCCTTTTAGGCCTCCTTCACCTGACAAGGCTAAATGCCCACCTGGAAATGAGAGCTCAACCCAGAGTCTTTAGGCAATCTCCTCATCTTCCTTGTTGGGTGCTGGCAGAGGAGACCAGCAAAGCAGGGGGCATGGGGAAGGTTGCAAAATCCAGCTCTTTCTTCTTGTGCAGAATCTGGGGTTACCTTGGCACAAAACGTATTTGCAAAGAGCACAAGAGTTCCCGATGCAAGGCTCATAAGCATGTGACCAGCTGCAAAAGATTTAAAGAGAGATGTGCTGGGGCAGACACAGACCACAGGCAAGGCGCAGCCAAAGTTAAGCCCATTTAAGCCCCACTGATTCCGGCGGAGTGTGTGTGCTTAAAACTCTCCCACTGAAAGCTTAAGAGGGCTGGACTGAGCCCTACATCT